CTCTAACCTAGATTCTAAGTTAACGCGGAAAGAGAATTTTCGAAAGAAAGAGAAATAATAATAATGTCGCTATCTATTTTACACAATTCAAAGATAGACATTCCATTAAAAACTTTAAACATACTTGTTCTTTTCTTGACAATCGCTAGTAATCAAAAGAGGATAATAGTTTCTCACATAGTATTCAATATTACTTTTTTCTTTTTTAATAAACGAGGTTTTCATATGAGAACATAAGACTGACATCTTTATTATTATTAGTCAATTATTGTAAAGTTATGATCGCAAATTTTCAATCCTTGTTTTAATCAATGTTTGGTTTGCATTACAAGAATTTTGATGGATCCCCAGATTTATGTCGAAATAAATCGGACACCCTCCAGGATGCACCCTCTCTTCCCGTTGAAGCATTTCCGATGCATCGCGCAACACGGAGCCCGGCGTCGTTAATATGCGCACGTCCTTTCTCGCGTCCGCAGTGTTTCAATCTCTCGTGGGATCCGTAGTTGGAAACGCATGACGTTTGCCACACACGAGAAACCTGGACACGAATGAATACTGACTGCTCTGAAACAAACAGTATTTTTTACTCTAGGTATGTTCTCGTATAAATAATTTTAGGCATATTTTTGTGAAGCCTGCACGTCATTGACCAAGCAATGCCTTCAGTAGGTCCATCAAACCTTTTCGCAGATACACGATAGGCAAATTTAAATGATTGAATTGTTAATTATTTAGTCGTAAAGAACAGCTGAGATGTACGACGTTCTGTTCCATGTCGACAATGTTGAATATAACTTAAAACGAGGAGTTGTTTGATTTATAATCTGTAACGGAGAATAGTGGAGGTTAGAAAATGTAATTTGATCGTTTAACTTGTACAATGCAACCGCGTTGGTTTGAAAGTTTATATGTACAGACCGAACATGTAACGAATGTCACAGGCTAAATGTCAAAGACAAAGCAGAGAAGAGAAAGCAGAAACCTTCCATTTCCGGTCAGAATACAGACATCATTCAAAACACATCTAATGTTTACAAAACACACTCAAGAAGACAAAGCGTGTCATTTAGCTCACATTTCATACATGAACATGGTATTTCTGTTTTGTACATACACGAAAAGTTACTGTTTTTGTTACAAAGTTCAAGGTTAGCTGATTAACATTCGATGTAAATAGGAAATATATAGCAAAGATGAAAGGAGAAAATCTCTAATTTTCACTGTCATAGAACAGTCTAACGCGTATTAAAAATAATTAAACTTTAGACGCGTGCAGTTTGGAAACTACTAGTGTTCTATCAATAACTGAGCCATTGTTGAAAGCAGCAAGGCCTCCCCTTTAAAATGGCTTTTGGTTTATGTCGATCCGACTTTCCGTTTTCGAGATATCGTGATTTATGTGAAGAGGTTATTTTTTTTAAATTCTGTTATGGCTCTTTCCGTGCTAAAACAGGCTACTAACGTGTATTGAAATTACTAAAACTTTAATTACTTGCAGTTTCGAAATTATTAGTATTTTCTCCATTATTGAGCCATCGTTAGCAGCGGTAAACCTTCCTCTTTGAAATGGTTTTTGGGTTTTTGTCGAACCGACTTCCGATTTTCGAGATATCATAATTTATGTAAAAGGTAATTTTTTTAATTCGAATATCTCTGTCTTCGTCTAACGCATCTCTCTATCTATCTATCTCTCTCTCTCTCTCTCTCTCTCTCTCTCTCTCTCTCTCTCTCTCTCTCTCTCTCTCTCTCTCTCTCTCTCTCTCTCTCTCTCTCTCTCTCTCTCTCTCTCTCTCTCACTTGTTCGTGCGTCGTGACGTATTATTTACTACGAGCACGTGCGGTCAACGGCCTTGAACGCGGTCATTGACCGCGCGACATCGACAATGAAATGTAAACAAAGCTTCGACTCCTTGTATCTCCGTAACTAGCCACCGCATCGACTTGAAACTAAAATCGCTATATCTCCGGAACTAATTACGCTATCGACTTGTTCGAACGCTCATTTTAAATGGCATTTCATCCCCTATCCGATGACCATCTCAATTATTCTAATTTATGCTGTCTTCTATGTTTAATTTCACATTTACTTTGACACTGTGCACTTAAAGAAGTTTCAGCAATTCTTAATGATGATACGACTGGTGTGCGATAAAACTGGATCGTAAATAGTTTATTTATTAGCCAATATTTTTTCATAAATAATGGTTTCCTCTGTAATTAACTACAGTATCAATTTGAAACAAAATTACTACTTTTACTCTAAGTGTATACATTTACAGTAAAATTATTGAATATTGTTGTACATATGTTTAATGTCACTCTTCTGGAGTAATTTATCATCCATGATAAACACATTTCAGCGAGTACGAGCTCATTAATCAATAACTGTTCAATATTGTCGGGAAGCTTGTAAATGGTTAAATTTGTCGTTCTATTCTTTCGAATAAATTCTTACCCATTCTTCGGCAAAGAATAAAACAACAACCAAAGGTGGGTCGAAGTGACCCTGTATCCACTGTACGAGGATTAAAGCTGAAAATGTTCGTTTCTCTCATCCACAATGGCAAGCAGACGTGTCGTAAACCCAGGAGTTTCTGAAGGGTAAGATGGAAATTAGTTTTCAACAGTTCTCGGTAGACCGGCCCGTTAAGACAAAGGATTATGGGTCTGGAGGAAATTCCGCATCGCTCCTAAAGTTTCGTCCACCCATCGTTCATAGGCAGGTATCGTTGCGCCGTCTCTCCTGGAAAACCGCGTTCAGGGCGCAATTGAAAGGAAGTCGCAATACCCTCGAAAATACTTGTTAGTTAAATCAGAAACCAGTTAGAGACGCAGTTATCACTGACAGAATACGGAGCAATCAGTCTCTCAGTCAGAGTTTAATTGTCATTTGAGTCATACAAGCGCAATTAGGCTTCCAGTCAGACGGTGGTGCCTATCAGAATACATGTAACCACTTCTGACCTATACATCTATACTGCTCAACTTTTTTCACTGCAGATTTGTTCTATTAGTTACAAAATTCTCGATGTAATCCATCCAAAATACATGAGGTACTCTCTATAGTAGAGTTTTCCTGAATGTAAATACACCGGAAATGCAGTTATAAAAGCACTTATCGAACAACTGATCCTCGTTGTCAACCAATTCCTATTGATACATCGTGTTATCATTTGAAACGATTCGTGTACATGTGTAATACAACGTGTGATAAAATATGTTTGCACCATCGATCACTTGTTTCCCAGGACAGGAGGAAGCGCAGACCTTGATTCAATATGATTGTTTCAGTTTTTTTTACAGTGCAACTATGGACAGGTATTTTTCAAGCTGAAAGGAACCATAGTTAGCATTCATTAAACGTCGACGTTTAAAATAAAATATCAAATAATAATCAATGGTCTGGAGAGAGATCGATGGTCAGAAGCAAGTTTTATTCACGAACGACGAATAAAAATTTTAGATTCATTCGCGAACTAGTTTTTCCTCGCGTGATGTTGATCGTTTATAATTAAAAATGTTATTCGTTAGGTATTTAAAAATAAAGTTCATCCAACTTTATCGACGGTTAGGTCGATAGCAATGGATTACTTCGTTTGAAGCCGGCCGCAGATCGCGCGACGAAATAAATCACATAGTCGCTTGGAAACATTTATTCAACCGGTCACGCGACAAATCCAACGCAATCTTTTTATCGGGCTGCTTTTATTCGATAGTTAACAGTGCCCCATACGCATATCCAGGCCCGCGATTATTCATGTAATCGGGAGTTGTACGCCCGATACGATCAATGGGAATTGTACACGCGGGGTGTAGTTTGATGAAAAATGGAGAAACATCTTGGTAATATTCGATTTTTGCATTGCAACAAAGAATTGCAGAAAACAATCCATATTGATGATCAGTCCATGATTAGACTAATTTTTTCTTCTGTTCGGTCAAAGTCAACGAATTATTCTCCGATAGAAACATTCTCTGGCCACAATAAAACTAATGAAACCTTTCTAGAACCACGAACTCCCTTTCAAAACGGTATTTGAAAATTTATTACATAAGTTGTGGATTATTTATTAATATATATTTTATATATTCGATAAACCCGTAAATAATTATATATTATTAGACTCTTAATATATTTTAATAGATGTATATAGATCTCAGAATTAATAGATTTATATATTTAGTATAACATATTTATTGTATATAATATATATATTAATTTATAATATATTTTTTTTTACAAAGTTTTGTATCTTCCAACGAAATTAAAATACTATAGATTGTTCACGTTAAAACTAACGTCTGACGATAAAAAATAATAATAATTAGTTGACGAGTTGTATACGATCTGTGGAGACCCAGATAGAATTTTTTGTATCATTATTTTGTCGTAAAATCAGCACCATGGAAATTGCTCGTCTCTGCAGTCTTTTGTCCTCTGAGAGTGCATGTAAAGACGATTTGTTCTGGAATACACTTTTCCTAGCCGCTGAAAATGTAAACGAATGGTTTCATCGCTCACATTCAACTTTTTCGTATGCTCAGCTCATGTCGGATTGTACTCCAACTCGGTTACAGTTTTTAGTACATCATGATCAGAGGTATACGGTTTTCCTTCACGAGATGTGTCGTTACGTAACTTATTTCTTGGTGTAAATTTTTAGAACCATTATTCGTCTGTGCATTCTCTCGTTCTATCCTCTTCAAGTATCGTCAGAACTCTGCAAACTGCTTCGCTAACGTTGGTCCAAAGTCTGCTGATATTCTTCACTCGATCACTCAGTGCTTCAATGAACAGTTTTGCAAAATTCATAAAACTATAAAAACAGATATTACGATTAAAAAGTCCTCTAGCAAAGTATTTTAAAAAGCAATGGAATACTGTAAACAAAACATGAGTTGTCATGATGTTGGAATTGAAAAATGTTCTCATTTCTTTCTACGACTTAATGCTTGTTTTTTACATATGCTAATTAAAAAAAAATATTATGTTTCAGAGGCACGAGCCAGAATAAGCGGCCAGTCGGAGAGGTACGTGAAGACCGGAAGTCTTCTTACGCTCACCTGCCAGATGTCCCAAGGACCTCACGATTTGGGCACAGTAGCTTGGTACCGTGGTAATCAGCCAGTGGTAACATCACCGTATTCTGAAAACGATGTCAACGGCAAACCACGAATTACCGTCGAAACTGAGTGGAGCGATGCCCTCACGTCGAAGTATATAAATTATTTATTGTCTCATCAGTAGTTTTCAAACTGTTCGTCGTAAGATATTTTACATTTTTGGAAATCATTTTCTGAGATTTCATTCACTGATTTTCTTTATTAGAAAGGATAAGGGTTCATGTAATCTTTTAATGTAAAATTTAATTCTCTGCAAGATTCATTTCTGCCATTACGCCACAAGTGCGAAGCGGATGGAAGTATGGACATGTTCCAACAATTCATACTTTTCATAACTGCTTCAAACATTCCAGCATCTTGGAAAGACAGACTGAGAAATATTCGAGATAACGGTGTACATACATAGTATGTACTACATACACATTCTCAGGACAATCCGGATAATCGTGTGCATAGGTCTCGAGGAAGCCGACAGATGCCGACTTCGCTCTAACAATGTGAAAAGTCCAAGACACTCGGAACACTAGAATCTCGGTATACAATCGGGATTTTGATTTCGAATTCAAAATCTTGGGAAAATTGTGCTTTTCTATCTTCTAGAAAATGGTGTTAGAGTACTTGGACCTGGAAAATGTACTGTTCACTGGTGTTTTATAAAAATATTTTCCTAATTAAAATTTGGCTCTACCTTCTATTTCAACGCCACGGTTCGTGTTAAAATACCGTAGAAACTAAAGATGAAATATAACTTTTCCACGCACCTAGTACGACCATTGTTCGATTCGTTACTGGCTCAAATTCGTGAATTGGTCAGGAAATTCAATGTACAGCTGCGATTTTCACGTGACGGAGACACGTCGTACGCAGTGGCGGCCACGAGACAACTAATGTAGGTTCTTGAACCGGAGGGGTCCTCGTAAATTCATCGACGCGAAACACCGTCACCATGACAATCGTCAATCACGTCCAAAAACAGATGCAGCCCGTCTGCAATATTCGCGCGACGCACAAACGGCAGGGTTGGCAAGGGTCGGCTAGAAATGCAGAGCATGCCCGATATGTCTTCACGGTGCGCAGACCAACTGACAAAGGACTACTTTGGTGCCTCTCCGCAAACGATCAACCGAATGTTATAGCACGTAGTAGACCCGCCAGGAATCATCTTGCGAGGAAAGCACTACTGCGGCTCGTTGGAAAGTAAACAAGTTGCTTTTGTAAATGAAAAAAGTTACAGGAACTGTTGGAAAATTTAAAGATACGGTGGCAACGGTAAGGAGGAAGAAGGGAAACGGAATTTCGCTTGTTCAGGAAGTTGATCTTCGTAAAACGAACTAGTACTGTCCTTCTTCGCCACTTCGTTAAAGCAAAAGTATAATCTAGAATCGATTTCTGGCTCCTGAAGGGTCCAAATGTGAATGTCTCGACGCAATGTCTACTGTACAGGCTGTTGCGATAAGATGGTCACGTAAATAGAGAAAACAAAGGTAGAAATAGGTTTGTGGGAAAAGTGTTGCTCGAAAAAATGGTTGTACATAAATGTGATACTGCAAATATAATACATACAGGGTGGGGAGGGTTGGTACAGCAAAGAACAACTCTATATGTAAAAATAAATAGATGAAAAAGAATAAATCGACTGTAAAAATTCGAGCCAGACGTCAGCGCAAGTAGAAAAAGTGGTCACTGGTCAGACCCGTCAATCAAATTCAATTAGCTCAAAAACAAAGGCTCGAACGAGAAAATGTTAGTGCAATTAGTTTTTGGTGTAGAATCACCACCTGTCGAATTATTTTAAATTGATCTAATAATATCCAAAAATAATGTGAAAATAATAAGGGTTTTAAATCATATAATTTACAAACAAATCAATTGCACTGAAACCTATATCAGAGTATGACGGTGGCCTACTAGCATCGACCTAATATTAATTTTCATTACTCGACAGTTTATTAAAGGCAGATGAAACTCGTTGGGCGGGTATTAAAATAATTATTTCTCGAGACGATCAATTTATTTGGCAGGAGGAGTGGGTGGGTGTTACCGGAACACCGTTACGCAACTCTTAAACGATCATTATTTGTCCTCAGGGTGCAATACGTTACAACAGCATGCGATGAAACTAACTACTGAAATACGGGAAGTAAATGATTAATCAATAATCCATTGGGAGCAACTTGCCAGAACTTCTTTACGAGCCACAGTGTCGGTCGACTACTAGTGCATCTGACGTCGAATTACTTCTCGTTGCTCCAGAGGATACTCGTTCGAAGGTCATTCGACCAATCGGAATTATTGTTTGGTCAGGGGCCAGCTTCTACTATACCGCGAACATGAAATAAAAATCAAGGCAGTAAATGTTTCACGCGATATACAACGCGACGTAGTTAAACCAGCGTTTCTCAAACTGGGATCCGCAGACACCTGGTAGTCCATGAACTTTCAGAAGAAATAACATTATACTACAGTAGAATCTCTATTATCCATACTATTATACTAGAGAGACGAAAATGTTTCATTAATGTAGATACTAACAAAAAATATTGCATGAATTAATTTTAAAAAAATTCCTTTTCAAATAAAAAAAAAGTTGCTCCAAGGTTACAACATTTTGAACGATATCTAACTTGTTTAAGAATAAAATTTTTCGTGATTTATTTGATCATTTTAGCTCATTTAAAAAACTTTCAGTTATATTTTCTTCAACATATAATGTTCTAAAACAAATACAAAATTAGAGAGTGATGACAAATACAAATTGGGTGTCCTCTACGCGATAAAACACGTTACTCTTCGCATGACAAACGGGGGGTTAAACGCGAAATACAATCTATGGCGTAACGTGAACGCTAACGTCAAAGGTGACAAGCTTGTTGAATGGATGAGATTGAATGATGCGAGATTCTGGATCGTCACCTCTATCCGGAACTTCCGTCATTCCCGAGGTCGGGGCGATCCTGACTCTAGCATTAATCGACAATAGGCTTAAGGACATCAACGGCCTAACACCACAATTTCTCAAGTTGTTACTCTACGACAACGGTCACGGTACGACTCAAATTATGTCAACAACAATAAACATGCCCATCAAAAGAAGCAATGTTCAAACCGAAAACATTTTTACGAAAAAAGGTAAAACAATTTTCTCATGCAACAAATGAACATAAACTTGAATCTCTTAAAAACATTTCGGCCACGGTAAACAACTATAAGTCACATCTTACATTTCTCGACTGTTCGATATCTAAAATAAATTTCAAGCCATTATCGTTTCAAAGGAAATACGAAAACACTTTTCAAGTCTATATTCCCTCTAAGAAAACAATTTATTTTACTCATACACGACATACTGTCCTAGAAACATTATAGTGTGCAGAGTATTATACGTACATGTTACGCAGAAAGAATTGTTTGGGGCCATTATTACGACGGTGAAAGGGATGATGTACAACCCTGCAACCAAGATAATACGATTAGGTGAACATGATCGTTGGATTTATTTCACGACGCTTGTCCGCGACACCCGATACCTTTGCTATTTTTCCCAACATTTGTCTGTTGCTTTTTTACCAAAACTACAGAATGTTGAATGACGTTAGAAAATGGAATTCCGTATATTGTTTATTAATAAAATTATTAATCTCATCGTTGGTTTGAAAAATAAGAATTACTTGCTGCATTATCGAACATGTATCTGGTATAAAAATGAACTTTTTATTTGTGTAAATTTTTTAACCGGTTTACAGATTTTCTACCAATTTTTTCTACTTTAAAACCTTACGTTAGTATAGAAAGGCTAACTTCGTTTATTTCTATTATCATAGCCAAGCTGCAGAAAGTGTCAGATTATATTAAAGCATAAATTAATCAACGAACGGCCACAATTTTATAAAATTTTGCTCGAGAGCTTATCAGATTATATCCAGACATATTTTTACTACTTTTCAGCACGCCACTTAAATATTAATGTAAAAATGATTATACACAATGCTTTGTCCTTTAAATACTTACAACTTTAATCCAGACATTGTTTGTTGATACGTTGAATTTTTATTTTATGTTTTATTTACCAAGAAATGAATAAATAGTCGTTCAGTGCTTATTCGTTGTTCGATATCTTTGTTTGGATAACAATTTTTCTCATCTCTGATCGGTAAAATACATACATTGGTAGTGCTCGTCCAAACAGTTTGAGAACATACTGAAAAGGAATAATATTTTGAGGATACGTTTGAAGTATCTAACGCAAATATCGGTTTTTCGCTGTATTACAGGTTGAACATCACTCATGCGAAGCCAAGCGATTCTGGAAACTACAGTTGCGTACCCACTGTGGCGGATAGTGCCAGCGTCATCGTACACGTTATCAATGGTGAGTTATATATAAAACTTGTATGAAACCATTCCTTCTAATACCGTGTAATTTATATATTCCGATTATTCTAAAGAAGCTAATGTTTATATTGAAGGAACTTGCGTAGTATCACACGTTACTATCATCGTAAGACAACCCTGTTTGCGATTAATCAAAAAATAAAAGACGTAGGTGTAGCTTCTTTTTTTCGAAATATTTCTTGCTGTGAAAAATACACATATTATTCTTTTTGTTCAGATCAACAATGGTGGTAATACTGTATGTCGTAAAAACCTTGCAAAACGTATACAGTGTATCTGCAAAACGCATGGAAAAACCGACCTATTGTGTATGCACGCGATGCGATTTATTCCATGTACGTTGTTGTTTAAGTTTTAGTCGGAAATGCCTGACTGTTCGGAAAGAATTCGGAGAACAGAGAAATGTTTGGAATCTGCTTGTTTCGGATTTTTTGCTCGGTCGACATTCCCCACTGTGTTTAGTGAGCTGTAAAAGGCGGAAGGAACTTTTACCAAAGTGTTCGCGTGAAATTTAAAAGACTCATTTGTGTGCCGCGTAAAAACGAAAATAGCGGACAGAAGTTTTCATTACCGAGCAGGAAAATTCAATTCCGTCGATCGCGTTACAAAGTTTTAGTTAGCGGATTCGATCACTGCGGGTTCCAAAATGGCGCCCAAGGCAGTAAAGCATTTTATGGTCGGACCGACCGTAACCGTTGTTTAGCTAAACGCGAACAAAACTGTGCAACTTTTAGTTGTTTCTTATGAGTCATCGTCCGTGTAAGAATGCAGAGTGCGATAAAGTGTAACAGGGGTTTAAACAGGTACAGCGATTTGACCATTGGTTTAATGCATTTGAAATAGATTACTAGTACTTCAAACTCGAGCTAGTCTTTCTCGACAATAACGTAATACTGTAATTATTTTTTATTTATTTTCTTATGCATTCAATAAATATTCTGAAACACGCGGTTGATAATTAATTTTAAAGTTCGTTAATTGTATACCGTTTGAATGACAAACGCTTGAATAACAAGTTAGCCCTGGGAATCCAAAATGTCCCACACGATTGTTTCTGGCGAAATTCGCATTAAGCGATATTTCCCAGTCCCAGTGAAAACGTCCAAACATATTCGAGGAAAGCGAAGGCAAATCTGAATTTCAACGTCAAGTAGGCAGATATAATTTTCGTTGAATTGTTGTTTCGATGAAAATGTCAATTATTACCAGATTGAGAACAATGACCACTGTAGTTTGATTATGCAATATGGGCAACGGATCGTTTTCAGCGTGTTTCCATTTTCGAATTTACGACCGCCGGTAATAAATGTTTTTAGCATCATTCCGTTTACCGAAATTATCTCGGTCTGTTTCAATTTAATTGCTCGTCGTAAACGTCCCAGCCACTGCATCCACTGATAATTACTTATTAGTTAAACGCTTTCGTAACGTTATTTACAATCTCGACCGGAGTAATTTTCAAGCGATTCGATCGATATGAATATTATCAAATTTTTATGTACATTTTTGTAAATCTATTTTTTATTCGATGTATCACGCGCAATCTGTCAGCGTGTGTCTCTGAAACTGTTCATGTACGTGTGTGTGACGAGCGGATACGTGTCATTATCTGCAGTATGGAATTGATAATGAACTGACAAGCTACGCGCCTTGTCCACCGTTGTCGGTAACGCGTGTCACCACATGTTGCCAACCATGCAATATTAACCCTTTTGCGGTCTTATATCGAGTTGAACTCGCCATCAGATCTTTTGACTACAAAAATCTACTAATTGTATCGTCAGTAATTTTAATACAAAATTGCTAAGACAAGACTAGATAAATTTATGTTTACATTCCACTGTGACATCATTTAACTTTCTCTTCCTCGGGAATAAATTACCATCGTAATGTACGACGCGAAACACGGGAATATTTGTTTGACAAAAATGAATAAATTCGCTAAAATTTCGTTCTCGGCGTCGCGCACAGGATATTCCATGAATAGGAACGCTTTTCATAGCGAACTTTTCATTTTCGTCCGTTTTAATCCATACGTTTTTCAGTACATGTATTCCTTGATTCTCTCATTTCGACTTCCGTCCATCTTCGTGAAACGTCGAGCACTTTGCATCGTACGTCTTTTGGGTGTGTCACTTTTCAGTTAGCGTCTATGCAAATTCGAATTAACGTCGGGAACCACATGGAAATTAGACCGTGGGTCTAATAGGATTTCGCCTGCCAGGAAAACGGATTCTACACGACTCGCTATAAATCTGAGCCAAGCTTACGACATGGACTTCAATATTTTCAAAAAACTTTCCTGGCTGTTAGTCAACGGACAAGGTTCGCATTATATGTATATATAACACAATTTTTCCCCTTTGATGCAAAACTCGATTTACGACACTACGAAGTGTGAACAAACTACACTTATAAATTCCAGAAATCATAATATTAGGTGTACAAATGAATAATCCAATTTTTTCAGCCACATTCAATTTTAAAAGAAAGTAAATTGAATTGTTCAATCAAAGTATTCGCCGTTACTTTCTATAACTTTAAGCCATCTTTCAGGCAGCTGATGAATTCCATCTCGGAAAAATTTTACGTTTTTAGACCCGATAAAGTCGTCAAGCTATTTTCGGATCTCATCCAATGATTGGAAGTGCATATCGGATAAGGCGTGTTGTATCAACCGGAACAGGTGATAATCAGAGGGAGCAATTTCTGCTGAATACGCCAGGTGCTGCAAGACGTCCTAGCCAAGACTCATTATGGTGTCTTTTGTATGGGAAGCAATATGTGGCCTTTTGTGGCGTTGTTATGCAACAATTTCACTGGACGTTCTCCTTTGCCAGTATACGGACGTTTTCGTTCCAATGCTTGACTCAAGCAGATTAATTGACGTTGGTAGCAGTCCGCAGTAACTGTTTCACCCGGTTCCAACAACTCATAATAAACCACCCTTGATATCCCACCAAATGCAGAGAAGAACCTTCTTTCTGAAGCGATTGGGTTTTGCAACCGATGTTGACGCTTCGCCGGGATTTATCCATGACTTTCTGCGTTTCAGATTGTCATAGAGTATCCACTTCTCATCGTCCTTAACGATTTTTCAGAAGAAAGACTTTCAACGCTGCTTATTGAGAAGAGAAAGACACGCTGCCACTCGTTGGTTTTTGTTGGTTGCAGTGAGTTCACGCGGAACCCATTTTCCTTCTTTCTGGATCTTTCCCATCTCACGTAGGCGTTTGGAAATCGTTTGCTGGGTTACTCGTAACTGTTCTGCAAGTTCTTTTTGCGTTTGTGCCGCCTACTCAGCGAGCAGTTGTTCCAAATCATCGTTGCCGCACTTCCGAGGGCCTCCAAGGCGTTGTTTGTCGATTAGACTCAAATTACCGCTTTTAAACCGCATAAACCACAATGCACACACATCATACGATACAACACCTTCACTGAGAAAGGAACGAATCGATTTGCATGCTCTTGTAGCATTTTTCTCTTGTTGGAATTCGTAAAGAATGCAGTATCGGATGTGCGCCTTATCTGTTGCCATTTTCGACTCTACCGAATTGAATACTTTTGAAGGTTATGTTGAGCCTTTCGCTAAACTATCTTTTGTTTTAACTAGCTATATGTCAACACTATATGACCACAAAAAAGCGGGAAAATCTATTGACGTTAAACTTGATTTTATAACTGCTTAAGATAATTTGGATTATTCATTTGTACACCTAATACAAAAATTAATTTTCAAGCCAACATTTATTTGGATGGTTCAATCTTTAACGTAACTTAAAATATTGCAATTGGACTTTCGAAGGAGGTAAAAAAATGTCACCCTTCAGTTTTTCCAAAGTAAACGACACATCGATCGTTCTATTTCAAGATTCAGAATTGGGTAAATTTTATTCACGAAATGAATACAAATTGTATATAGATTCGTAAACTAGCTTTTGCCTGGGGCTTCACTCGCTTGAATGTCAATTTAAAAATTCATTAACACTTCGTTAATCGCGAGGATTACACGTGGCACTCATCCCTATATTTCTCCTCGAAGTTTTGAAGTGTTTTAAGTTAACAACGCTAACATTTATACTAAAACATTCCCTACCGTTTTCCGTAAATAAACGTGTTTAGTAGTCTAACATTTACGTAAGACTTTATGCTAACGTCTTGATGCTATTTAGAACAGGGTCACAAGGGAGATGCTATGTATGTGGAAGGTTTCAAGATAGGGCTACGAGAAAATTCTGTTCTAAATGTGTCGAATAAATATGTGTCGATCGTTTACACAAAGTATTTCAAATTGTTTAAAGATAATGTTTCGTACGATTTATTTTACGAATTCATCTTATTAAAAAATCTATTCCAATTATATTCCCATCAAAATGTTCGAAAAGTAATTAAAGTAAAAAATTGTGTCAAACAAAAAATGAATAACCACTATCCCTCGCATGACAAAATAGATATTTCTCCATCACGCGACTAACGAAGGTCTAATGGACTTTAATTAACGAATGAAACGTAAACGGAAGTTGGCTTGTCGATGAATCTAAAATTTTTATTTGTTATTTGTGAATAAAATTTACACAACTTTGCTCGCGCGCCATTAAAATGTATAGTCGACGGAACAAATATAAAAACTCTAGTAAATCAGTTTCGACAGGCTTAAAAAGTGATGCTCTTGTTGGCTGCGAGCCCCTAATGGGGGTTTCCCAGCAGGATGTTGGTCTCCTGACTACAGGGGTTGTACTGGGGTTTATTTCTACTTTTTATAACGAAACTGATTTTTTTCGTGTCAACAATTTTACAATTTTTACATACTCTGTTCCCTGATCGTAGCTCGAGGAGAAAAGAGACCAATTAAATTTCACTTATGTATCCTTCAGGCTAAGATAGATTAATCCTGAAGGATACAGTGTCTGAAGAACATTACTGTATCCTCAAAATGTTGCTCGTTTTCTACTACTCCGCTGATATTGCTACAAAAGA